GTCCCGACTTCCATTATGGACGACAAAATAAAAGGTTCATTAAACAGCCACTGTGACGCAACTATTGTTCGTTTGTATTGGCTGCTGAGAACACAATAGGTCTTATATAAAGAAACATGTGTAATGCTGTTATACTTCATTCTGATTGCATGTTCGCCTAGTGTTCGTCAGAATTTAACGTTGAGCCCCAACTTTAGCATCGATCATCTTTTTAAAACTTTTTAAATCTTTGTATTACTCTGTTGGGATGGGGGGGGGGGGACATTTTTCAATGGGGATCAATTTCTTAAAGGTAGCACGTGCAGAAAACTAACCCTAGGGTTCTTTGCAAAAAAGGACATGTTTCTATAGCTTGGGGGTCATTTTTCGACAGGGGTCATTATTCCTCTTTACAACCGCCTAATATCCAAAAGAAATAATAATAGTAAACTGTAATCTAAAATGCATTGCTCAAATTGTAATTCTAATCATCCTTGACATTTTATTAAGCCAAGACAATCAAATGATCAATTTATTTACATATATTTTCCTTTATTAAAGTGAGCAACAATAATTTCTATTTTTCAGTGTTTTGTTGCATTTAAAGATTTTTAATAGACTTTTTAATAGGGCAAAATTAAAGGACTTGTCCCATGTTTCTCAGCTACCTGAAATTAAAAGCGTTTTATGTTCCTCGTGACCACGGTTTATAAATTTCGTGTTTTTTTATCGCGGAGATAATGTGGTAATTAAACATTATTGGTTAAAATAAAAAAAAACCTCAGTTACAGTTAAAATTCCAAGTTATTTAGATAGCGGTCAAGTGACCATGATACGTTATAGGCGACAATGGCTGATCAGCTGTATATATTATTCTCAGTTGAAAAGTTGATGGCTCGTTTTAATACTCCCCCTCAACTTCTCTACGAAAGGCCTAATAAAAGCAGTTCAGAAATTGACTAAATGAAGAACCAAAACCGGGTCCCACTTCGATCGGTGTTTTAGGATTGATGCATTATCATAGACATATTTTGGATGCACAGATGTTGTCTGGCAATGGAAATGCGATTAGAAATACCGATTCTGCTGACCTAAAAACATTCATCACGGTAGAACACTTGCTTGCTATATCTGTGTCACCGGATTCGTTTATTCATTCAAAACTGCGTTTGAACCCGGTTGACCACTAAAAAAGTCTAAAACTATTTCTCCGGATAACTATTTAACACTGAAACATTTACTCCAATTTATCCGGATAAAAAGTTTTAGACTTTCTTAGAGATAAGAGTATATAAAAAAAGTGCTTCTTCTTACTTTCGCTTTCTCTTTTGTAACCAAGGGTAGTGACAGGTTGAATATTGTAATTCACCACGTGATTTCTCACCTCAGGTTATTACGTAAACTTCCGTTCTTTCCAGGTCGATTTGAAGAAATGAGCCTCCAAATCGAAGAAAATGGGGAAAAAAATTCACTGAACGCGTGTGATGACCGACAACCAAACCAGCATTTAGGAAAACTATCCCTGTATTGAATCCTAATTCGAAAATGAAATAAATTTAAAGGTTAGAGTACAGAAACAGGTGCTGAAGTGGGTGTGGGTATTTTTTCCAAGATGGCAGCTTGCACTCCTTGTAGGGTTTATGTATAATGGGGTGTGGTACGTTTTTTTAAACAAAGTATATCTTGTCTGAAAGTGTCAAAATACTTATTGAAAATCTTTTTAGGTGTATTTAAAGTAGATTCAAATTTTATGAATTTATTTTATATTTACCATCCAAGGACAAGCCCCTATGGTCAGGCATTGATTTAAAGTCTTCTGTACTTACATAGATGTGGTCATCTTGTTGAACTCTTTGTAAATAGTGTACTTGTGCCATACAGAATAGAGAGGGCGATGGTAAAAGTGATTAATACATGGCATTGTTATTTATGCTAGTCTAATTTTAGTCCCATTCTGACAATGTTAGCTCCACCTCTTATGCACATTTATATCAACCTTATGTTCAATCAAGGGCAGATAAGCGAAAATTCTCTTTATATGGAAAGCAGTAAGAGAAAAAATATAGAATGAGTTTATTGTATCACAGTCTAAAATCTTTTTAACATTTAAATTTTATCCCAAATTTACAAGACTCTTTGATAAATAAACAAAAGAAAAATAAGATTAAGACCGAAAAGACCCTAAACCCGACGTTTAGTGCAGTCATCCTTGATAAAAGAAATATATATATTTTTTAATTGGATATTTTAAGGTAGTATACAATAGATAGGTTAAATTTTTCCTCAAATTCAATTTTTTTGAAACTTTGAAATTTTGTTCTAGGATACAAAATCTCTCTTTATATGTAATTTGAAAGAAGTTCAACCGCACATTTTTTGTCCACATAGCTTGAAATGTGACCAATCAGACCCCTGTAAGAAGATTGTGAAATCGGACATTACACTTTACGAGGGGTTATCAAAAAGTTCGCGGACTGATGCGATAAAATTAATATTATGTAGTTATTGATTACAATATTTGTAGGGAACATAAAACAACAGAAGTTTAAGAAGTGTTGAAAATTTCAGCTTGATATGTTGATAATTTGCCAAATTATCATTAAATAAAAAGGGCTTTATATGATCACCCGGCGCTGTCGCCGTTTAGTTTCATGACGTCCGACAACGTCATTATTTCTCAATGCCCGCTCTCTGTGCCTCAATACACTTATCTTGATGAGACTCTCTGGAGTAAAATAAAGACCTAAACCCGTCTTGTTTTATATGACTTAACAGTATCATGAAAACCTTATTTCAATGCATTAATATTGTAAATATTAAATCTATAAATAGGAAAAAATCCTCGCTTGATTTTGCCAGCATAATTTTCTTGCCGGAGTTCAATGTCAACAAATGATCAACGTCACTTTCGACGTGTCTGACTTTGGACACCCTGACTACAAATCGACATTAACCGTGTGCCTCTTTTCTTGCTGAATCTGTTTTGGAATTTAAACACAAGTACTCTGGATGCATTTTGTTTCTCTGTAGCCTGTTAAAACATTTTCTAGGTCTATGTCAGGTTTTCCAGGGGCTGAAACTTTATAGAATGTTGTAAATGACACCCTACCCCCTTTCGACGTCATTTTTAACCTCTTTATTGTTTGGACATTCCCTATAAAATTTACGATAAAATTTCATAGAATATACAGAATGAGGTAAAAATTGCAACTTTTACGGAAAATTGTGTCATATCACATGAGTGAATTAATGGGATTTTTGGATGACAAATGCTCATATAAGAAGAGTTTTACTCAGTTACACTCAGGTAGAAAATATATCATGTTCGAGGTTGCGCCGCCTTGACATACATGTACCATTGCTTACAAAAACATTTACTATTCACTAAAAAATAAAACTTATGATTTAAAGTTTATTTTACAGATAGAAAAGAGGATGTTTATTTAATGTTTTAAAATTCATTGATGTATCTTATGTGGTTTTAATTTTATATGACGCTAGTCCACGAACTTTTTGATAACCCCTTATAGAATATGCATTTTTTAAAACTACCGATCGATCTATTTGTGTGATACTTTATGAATGCCACCTTACTCTTACTAAATTTAGGTAAATTATATTGATACTGGTATATTAGAGTAAAATGTGATGAAAAAATAGAACATAAATACATGTAGCCCAGGAATTGAAAATTCACATGTAACTATGCTACACTTTTTAAAAGTTCTCTAAAGAGAAAATGTATAATTCAATTTAAAAAAAAAAATTAACAGAATGATCGAAATGGAACCCAGATTAATTTGAGGAAAATTGAACCGGCAGATTCAAATATTTTGGAAATTTAAAAAAATTATCTAATGCAAAAAAATTGAAAAGAATCAGTAGATGACGTCACAATATTTGACCTCTGACCTCTAAATATGACCTTGACCTTTATCGTGTATAAAGAATGGAGACTGCTTATAAATATTTTTAAATATCAGGTTTCTACTGTAAATGGATCAAAAATTACTTTGGATTTAATAACAGTGTCATATCGCATGTAGATTGCATAAACACATTCTAAAATGTAGGCTCTCGAATGACCAATATATACGATTCTCCAATATATATATATATATATATATATATATATATATATATATATATATATATATATATATATATATATATATATATATATATAATATGGCGAAAAAAGTGTCACAGGTTTTTAATTTCCTTACAAAGATCATTGATTATTGACATTACAGTGATATTCTTTTTTGTACTACCTTAAAGGGGGATAGAGACACGAATTTAAGTTTATTGACTTATACATTTCGGTTAAATTTCATGACACATATCAAAAGAATATTTCAGACAGATATGTAATAAAAACCTGTTAAGAAATTTTTTTTTTTAGAGAATTACCAAATTAATATCCAATCCCACAATTCTAACCTTTTGTTTGCAGGATAAGGACTTAGGTTGCAACAAATTAAGAAAGTATAAATACGTGCCGTTATTACTCTTCTCTAATCATTAAATTAATTGATTTTAGAGTATATGATATGCATCTTACTTTGACTCATATGAACTTTTAAGAGGACAAAAACAAATAGAAATATTAATTATTTTATTACGTTGAACTATTTCCGACACCATCACAGTTTTAGGTAGAGTATTTATTTGACCTTGTTTTCTCCTTAATAAAAAACACATCATAGTCCACATTTACACTTTAATAAAGCGCTTTATGTTTCAAAAGTTCATTTAAATGTATAAATATGGTACACACTGTACAAAAAAGCTTGCTAAGCAAATACCATGCTATATGCATATTCCATTCGGAAATATTAATGCATTCCTTTGCAATATGTATATTCAATTCGGAAATATTAATGCATTCCTTGAGGCTAAAATATTTCAGACATGGCATGAAGAGTTTCAATAAAGCTACATTTTAAGACATACTTAACAAAATACAAAACTACCTCCCCCCCCCCCCCCCCATACAAGTAAAAAACAAGAGTATTGTTTAAAAGTGTCATGTCTCAATTGTCATCAAATGAGAAAAAAGACATCGTGTACAAAACGATATAAATTATCACAAAACTCATAATTTTATCGTAAATTAAGGAAGAAATAACACAGAGTTCATGTCAACTTTAAAGCACAGGTAAGATACCTATAACCAACAGCCAAAATCATATATAAAATAGAAGAAAACATATATGTAAATTACATGTACTAAGTAAATACAATATTCCTATAAAGACAAACAAAAGCACTTTTAAAATAAATTTCCTATTATAAATAAATACAATTTCAAGGACATCTAATGAGTTAACGAAAAAAGTTTTAAGAAATACCTTTTCGCATGGTCCTAGTCGCATATTCATGGAATGTGAATTGAAAAAATCTAACACTCATCTGAAGGTTAACAATTTCGAAGTATGACAATGAGGATCTTAAACCTACCGCTAAAGCTAATTGCTCATCTCGATTCTTTTTACACAGACTGAAGTTGTCTATGTTTACATATACATCATGCTCTTTAGCATTAAATTGATGACGTCAAATTGTGCAACACATGACCCTTCTCTTTATCAATATAATGTTGTATACTATACTAAATATGGTTTAATATTACTAAAAAATTGGAGTCTCCATATTAAACAAAGAACCTTCTTTGCATTTTGAATTGCTAAACTAATGTTAATTCTATGACATACAACCTGTATTTTTTTTAAAGGAATTAGCCATACATTTGAATTTCATAACACTGAAGCCAATCAAAACAATAATGCCAAAATTTCAAGATAAAGGATACTCCATCTGTAGGTGCTACTGCTGCATACAATCAAAAATAAACTTATGTCTGACTGTAATTGGGTTATATTTTGTTTGTTTGGTTCCTAAATATTAAGCATTGTACTTGCAACATAATCATAAGTTTCTAAACATTTTAATGAGATCATGCAGTGTCTGTATTAAAGGCGTCCAATATTTTCTAACAGGATACACAGTACCTGCGTAAAATCGTTTGATGCATGTATTTAGAGCCGTTATAAAATGACTATTTTGATTCAATGCATCCTCTTTTTCATTTCTTCTGAGAGAGAAAACTTAAAATCTGAAAACAAGAGAATAATTCGAATAAAATTTTCATTTCCAGCATCGTTTAAAATATGAGATTTCAAACATAAATTCAAAACAATTTTGCAAAACAAGGAATATGAAAATATATGAAAAAACCTTGAAAAACAACTTACCATCATAGAATACAACCTCACATTTGTGTGCAAATTCTTCAACCAATTTTTGATTCAAAATATTTTGGATTTCATGGCAGAATTTCTTGGCCTGTATAACCATGTTCACTTCATTTAACCCTGCGATCTTCAGTTTCCACATGTCATTCAGGCAGGTTGCAGGAGCTGCATACTGGCCAACAAAGAAATACTCCTGCAAGATGATGATGCCAACATATTTAATGTATTCTCTATGTATAAGGAAAAAAATTATAAAAGTTAAACTTTTGTACCTAATAAAAAATCTTAAATTCAGAGGTTAAAATTGTCTTTTATATAATATTAGTCAACTAAAGGCATAACAAAATGGAATTCCATATTTGGCAATCAGACAAGTTTAACTAGCATCTACTGCTTCATACATTTGCAGAAAAAATGACACTCTACTGACATGCAATCTTTTCATCAACTTTCAATTTTTCATTTTCTCACTGTGAACTAGTAATATTTGTTCTCATGTCTAAATGGAAAGGAAAAAGGATGAATATGTATTCGATTACCAGTTGTGAGATTCAAAGAAATTGTATGAATCTCTATTGTATGTACATGGAATGTGTATAAAATAATGTGGTGTATTGTATTTTGGAGAGTCATGACTTTGGATTTTTTGCATTAAAGAAAGAGATAGGTGAAAGAAATTCCCCATTTCTTTACTTGTCAACAATATTTTCTTAAAAATAACATATGATTCCAGAATCTATAGTATATTTTTTCTTAGAAGTTTAAAATCTCAAAGTTTTCAACTTATTTACAACAGGCAGACAAACAACAGATCCAATTTGATTAAGAAAAATAGTCAAGTTTCTACAGATACAATTCTTAACAGTATTCCACTGAGGGTATTTAACATTTATTGATAATTTGTTTTATGAAGTACATATCTGTTAGAAAACAATGAGATAATAATAGTTGTATAATAATGATATTTACTTTGCCATTATCTTTAAATGTGTACATGTCGAAGCTATATTTTCGCCGTATATTTCCAGCAAGGTTGACGTAAACTGGGTGTATGGTTTCCACTAACTCAATACGTGGGTCAGCCTCTTCTAACGAGGCGTGGCACTCACAGGAAGTCGGGACAATAATGTACACTTTCTTCTTGCATAAGGAGGGGCTTTTGTTGAATTTTGCTAAGGTTTTCTCGATAGTCTCAGTTAACCCTACAAGAAAAATAATACAAGTAGAAAAATCCATCTTTTTTAAATTTCTTTTTTTACTTAAATCGCTCAAAGAAGATATGTCGCAGTGACTGTATTTCAAAGAAAATTTGTTTTCCTTAAAAAACAGACTGTAAAATATACAGCGATAAAATATCACCTTCTACATGAATAATATATGCAAAGTTTCATTTGACACACTCTTTCTCCCAGTATAGGTACAGAGAAATGTTTATGTTTTAGACCTTTACAGAAATACATAAATGTACAGATATTATATTTTCTTTTTCAAATACAGAAATTTTGATGATATGCCTCTAGTTTTCATGGACAAATAACATTTTAAGGTTTTCCAAATAAGACCACAGTTATCTTATCAACGGGTCATGAATGGTAAATCGATTGTTAAAAAGTAAAATGATATATAATTATCTATGTTTCTGAAGAGCACAAAATTCACCGTGCCCCAAGGACACCATTTGCAGAAGTAATGATCCAGTCCTTTAATTTGGACAACTCAGTATGTAGCTACATTGCGTCAAACAACCAAGCAAAACTCTTTCCTTAAAAAAAATATTTATATCTTTTGTATGTGGATTATGCTTTGAACGAAGCAATGCTTCAGAAAATAACATCGTATCTTATTTATTATATCCGGGGAAATTTGACTGATTTTACTACTATTTGATAAAATAAATGTATCGCATGATAAAATATTTCATGTCTAAAATAATAACGATTTAAAACACAAAAAATGTATGAAATAACTAGGGCTGTTATACGTCAGTTGTTCTATAATAGCTTTATCTAACTCGTTGAACTGTACAGTTTATAATTGTTCTCAAATATATTTTAAACGAGTTAAGCTTATGTAAATCCACACTTAGTAAAAATCCTTAATATATCTAATGTTTTTAGCACTTTGTCTTCAAGATATATTAGATAGGATATACATATTCCACACTTTAATATCTTTATTAATACGCTTATGAATAAATCTTAACCCTGAGGTTGTAGTTAAGAAATGTTACTTTACTTTAAAGGGTGACATTTTTAACAAAACAAACAATGACTTAATTAAGCTAGTCGTATTAAATAAAACATTAACATTATTGAAAACAACTCTTATTAATGTTTCATTTAAAAATTCTTACCATCTGCCCCCTCCTGTTCTGGATCTGAAACCAAAATTTTACATCAAATATATACACTCCATATATTAACAAAAATAAATTTACGTAAAAAAAAAATAAGAAAATAAAATAAGAAAATAATTTTAATTTTAAAGATACACAGAAAGGAAAGTGAAAAACAAAATTAATTTATTGCCATCCATACTTTTTTCTGTGTTTCTTCTTCAGTAAATTAAGCGCTGTTACTTAGTTTTAATTTAATTTAAAAAAAAAAACAACAACAACTTTATCTAAGGCATTCCTGATTTCAAAATAAAAATGTTTTAAAATGTAAATATCATTTTTTTTTTAAAAAAACTACCCATTAGAACAAACTGTAAGTAGTTGAGAACATAAGTCCAGGCTAATCCATATGCCACGTCTCCTGCTGGTATCAGAGTTCCCTTCTCAAATTGGATATCCTTTCCTTAAAAGGATACATTATAAGAATGATATCAGCAATGAAAAATATTTACAACTGCGATATCTCGGTGTTCATCCACGGACGAAAATCACTCGATATACTTTTTAATTCGCAGAATGGGAAAATTTGTAGATGGAAGATATAATAACATTTATTTGATACATTTTCAAATTCAGTTACAAAATAAATCATGCAACTCGATCCTCTTCAATATTTAAATGTGAAATATGCGATTTTCAATTACATGTAGTGCCTCAAAAATAATTTTGCGATTTTTTCTTAGAAAATGTTCCTCCAGTCTTTCAGTATTTGAAGTAGGCTACATCCTTAATCAAAATAAATATTGACCTATACATACCTTTTAAAGTACAGAGAAGTCTTTCCAGGTATCTCTTGTTTTTATCAACAGCAACATACGTAACAAACCGCACAGCATCTGGGATGTCTACATATCTTGTGTCTACTAAAACTGGTATTAGCCTAATTTTCTTTTCTTGAAGAAATGTTTCAAGTAGGCTTAAAATTTGCATTGTAAATTGTTTGTCATGGAGGGCCTCTCGTGTTATGACCACTATAGTCCAGTAGGACTTTGTGATAGCCTCATCAAGATAAAAAGACCTTTGCCCAGGCTGATGTCCTCCTTCATAGACTTTTACACCTTTACTTTTCAGGTATTCTTCAATTTCGAGAGCTATAAATTCACTTGCTTCACTACTATGGCAAAACAGAAAAGCTTCTTTCTCAAATTCCTCTGGGTCTTTTGAGCTCAATCTATCCAATGGTATTTCAATCTAAAATTTTCATTTAACAATACATGTTTATATAAATCTTTTTTTTTAAACAGAACTAATGTTTTCTAAATTAGTTTAAAAAAAAAAAAAAACTTAAACATAATAGCGTTTCGCATTATATGTCAATAAATTGGATTTTTCATAGCTATTTTCATATCTATCTATCTATCTATCTATCTATCTATCTATCCATGCTATTGTGAACTATATATATGCACATTTTAACAGAAGTATAATAACAGCATTATTCAATTACTCATGCTACGTTTTATTGGCATTTTGTCAGTAGATCCACTCTCTTTTATTTGACCCCATATGTTATAATTTGTGTTCGAATGTGCACTCTTCAAAAAAAAAAAAAAAACTGAAATGTTGAAAAAACACTCATCTGAGAAACTCTCTTATACTCTATGGTATCCTACCAAATAATACACACAATCATTTTCTGGGAAATACTTAAAAGTACACAACGTACTAACATCTTTTCGTATCTCCTGATTAGCACAAGTTTAAGGAGAGCTTCTCAAACGCGGTGCATTTTCTAGACTACATAGCCGAAAAGCAGTCCCAATTGAAACTCAGTCTAAAAACATTTTGGGTAAAATTTAAGGGGGAATAAGGAAATTTATATAAAACATGCCAATGGCTTAAAAAGACTCATGTAAGGTAATTCAACAAATTGTCACAATTCAAAAATAGCTCTGTGAAACCTCCTTCATGGCAAACTTTGGTTTTCCATCCCTAATAGGACCAAATTCTCTATCCTTAAATTTCCATCACATACATAATACTCTGATATTGATTTAAAGCAGTTTACAGTAGAAAAGGACTTATCAAGAAAAAGTTTCTAAAATGTTATTAACTAAGCAGTGATTAATTAACAAAGATTACACTGAAGTCAATGGGGACAAGCGATTGTTTTTTAAAATAAGAGTTCAAAAAATATCTGTGGAAAGAAGCATTTAAACATTACAAATAAAATGACAATTAAAACGATTTTTTTTTACCATATGTTTTTTAAAATTGATTTTTGTTATTAAATAAAACAGAGAGAGGTAACTCTTACCAAAATTCAAGGTCACAAATTAGGACACATCCCACCCTTACATGCTTATAGTAATAAATGGGAATTATGTCTAAATAAACTGAGTATTCTACCTCTACGCATCTGTTATGCATTCAATTTCTTTGAATCTATTGCTATTATGGATGGAATACCTTAATGACAAAAAAGCAAAAGGGTTGTGGGCAACTTTATACCAAAAATAAATTCAATCATGAATGTAAAAAATAATGAGAAAAACTGCAAATCCATTATATCTTTCGTTTGTTTCTTTGTTAAGTGGCAGTATATTTACATATAAAATGTGCATTTCATTTTTTTTGGTCATAAAAGCATGTTAGGTTAGAAAGCTTTTAAAGATGTCTATCTAGTATATATAGATATATATATATATATATATAGATAGATAGATAGAATATATACACTATATATATATATATATATATATATATATATATATATATATATATATATATATATATATATATATATATATAATTATATAATAGTGTTGTACTTTGCATGCACTATGCCTAAATAGTAGTCAGGGTTTGACACATGGTGCACGAGCCGGAGGCGAGTGCACTATGTGTCAAACTCTGACTACTATTTAGGCATAGTGCATGCAAAGTACAACACTATTGTTATTATTATGCTGACTGTTGTATAAAAACGACAATATTTTCTCCCTTTCCAATGTTTCATCATCTCTTACATTCATGTTAGTACACCCCTATTATGACGTCACATTGTGCTACATGTACGTTATAATCTTTTGTCTTTAATATTTTGAATGTTCCATGTACAGATAGTTGAGAAATTTAGTTGTGTGAAGGGTAAAAATTGCAAGATACTATTTTATAAAAATCATTTTGTTTATTTTTTTTTTAGTGTAAAATCTTTGAAACTAAGTTTATATATAGTTTATAATACAGTGTTATAGATAACGGCGTCTGTAGCGTAATCGGTAGCGCGTCGGACTGATAATCTTGGGGTCGTGAGTTCGATCCCCGGCGTGGGCGCTGTCGGATTTTCTTCGGAAAAAGAAGCCGTGCTCTATTTCGGCATAGTATGCTTACGCTATATAAATCCTTAGACCACTATGCGAAAATAGTTGGGTATTGACTATGTAGAGACAAACTGACAGGAAGCATAATAAATATATATATATATATATATATATATATATATATATCACAAACCCTTCCATCTTTAAAAAATTCCAGATGTAAGTCCTGTTTGATTGCTTTCAACATTTCGTCTGCTAAAACAAACCCTGGTCTGTTTTCTGCAAAAATTGAAAAATTATATAGAATTTCAATTATTTTTGAAAGAAAAGTATTTTTTCTAAACAATAAAAATTCCTTGGCAATCACCTGAGTATTATGATTCTAAATTTCTTATTATTTTTATTTTTAAAAGAGGGAAATATTTTTGCAAAAAGTCTACAATTACCATTGTACATTATGACATTTGCTTTATTCAAAGTATTTTCCAAGCTTTCGTGATGTAAAAGAGCCACCAGTGTGTAGTAGAATCGCCCAACTTGCATGCGCCTGTCACACTCTTGTAACTTTGTTGACGTTTCTTCAACCATCTTCTGAATTCCTGCTAAAACGGCCGGATACTCTGCTACACAGTAGTATTCCTAAAGAAAGACAAAGAATATCATAAAATTTTAGCAATATTAAATGAACAATTGATTAAAGAGTGATATTGTTCATTTCTTATATGCTTTTGAATATATTAAATGTTACCTGTATAAAAAAAAATGTAATGCCCTCTGGAAAATGACAGTGGGGTGCTTGAATTGACATACATGCATATAAATTGTGTCTACCATATATCAGTAATAACCTTAAGAAAAACCTTTTTCTAAACTAGCAGAAAATTGCTTATTTTTTCATTTCATAGATGAAATCAAATATAAACTAAATGCTGTCAGAAGACCGCACTTAGGTGTCTGCCCCTAAATGCATTCTCTTTCATAATTGGGTAATCAGGGAAGAAGCCACAATAATTCTATAAGTTACACAATATACAGGTATTTGTCAAATCGAGCATAAAATGCTCAGGTGAACATGTGGCCCATGGGTCTCTTATGCATGTATTTTATATAGTAATTTCATTGCCCCAGTCTGAAATTACAGAATTTAATGATGTTAATTCTGTTGAATCCAAAAATAGTTCATTGCTGAGGTCAACTTCTGATGATGAAATAAAATTTATCTTACAAACCGTGCCATCTTTGTCTTTTACGCAGTAAATGGTCATATTAACGGATCTGGTATTTCCAGCCCTTTGGTACGTTAATGTTGGCAGTTTTTCAGTCATGGCATCGATTCTTTTTCCAGACTTCTCTTCCGGAATATCCTCAATAACCCATGGACAACGACAGTTTTCAGGGACCAGTTCATACAACTTCAAAGAAAACCTGGAGGGGTTTTTCTTGTACAGGTCTGTACCTTTTATAAGATCTGCGATTTCTAAGATCAGAAAAGGGGAAAAATCAACCAAAGACTTTTAAGAAAACAAAATAAAATCTAAATGTGGTTACATCTTTAGTTGTGTGTCAAAACATAGTTTATCTTCTTCCATAAAAAGAATGAATATGAAATATACGAAGGTTGATCCAAAAGTGATGTCAATACTAGTGTTACAAAATCTTTCATATAATATCATCAGCAAATTCTATACATTAACACCATAATGTATTTTGACTCTTGACTAAAAATTTCATTAAGATATATACAAGACTTTAATTTATTAAATATATGAAAATAAGCACAAAGTTAAGTCCCGCTTATCGTCACTCGACAGCTTAACGTTACCAACGTCTAAATGACGGTACTTTTTAAAACTTATTTTCACTTCATCCATACATCTATTAAACCTCTAATACATTATGTATGCGTTTTATTCCCATGCTTTATAATAATGTTCACTAGCTGCCACTTTGAGTTAGTGTCTGGGGTTGAGCTGTATTATCAAAATAATTTAAATTTTTCCAAATCCACTCTGCTGTGCTTAGATCTTCTCTTGCTGCGTCAGATTAAAAAATAAGTGATGTTAAAGGTTGATCCTGAGGCACTTTCATCTTTCTTGATCTATATTCTGAGTTTCATTTACAAAAGTATTAAAGGTAACTTTTTTTATATTTGCAAAGTTTTTTTTAAGTAAAAAGTGTCTGTTGTAACAATTTGGCCTTTAATCCGGTTTCAACCTTTCAACAGAGGTAGAAAATGTCTAGAGATCTGATGCTAGCGCTACCTTATAAGACTACAAGAACAGAATAAATCTGGAATGAAAAATGTGAAGATAACAAACAGTGATCAATCTTAAAAATCGTTTAAACAATACAAATTTGTGAACAGGGCATAAAACACAAACCCCTAAAAAAAATCAGAGTTGCAATCAGGTGCCTAAGGAATAAAGATCCCCTGTTGACCAGTCTCACCCTCTATTGATCAGGAAGAAGGAATAATATGTAGCCAACTTCAATATAAAAACAATGGCTTCAATTGGTATGAAACACGTCAGTCAAAAATACGACCTAAAGATTAAGTTTTATTTGCAACGAAGGTCATAATAACGACCACGGAATTTTTTACTTTGATCGAAGTGTTGAAATCCCTGTAGTATCAATTTCTTTATCAGTAACCTGCCTCGGTTTTTAAAACTGATCTTTCTCAGAGCATGCCGTTGCGTATCGAAAAAGTTGGGAGACATAAACACTATATGCAGGTGATAATGAAATGAACATTGTGCTTTCTAAATAATTTTGATAATACAACTCAAAACCACATTCCTTCGTGCAAGATGGCAGCATAAATTATTAAAAAGCATGCATGGAAATGAAGAATAAATACATTTGTGGCTAAACCTAACACTGTCCATGTAGACGTTGGTTGCGTTGTCATGCAGTGATAGATGTTACCTTAGTTTATGTTTATTTTTATATGTAAATAAGTATTAAATATATTTTATTGAATTTTTTTCAACAATCCAGATAGATAGAGGTATTTGTTTATAAAATTTTGATGAATTTCTGCTTTTAAAGATGAAGATCATCATAATGCAATGATAATGCAATGATTCTGATGTATAAGAATTTAAAAACTTGATTTGTGTGTACATTATGACTTTCTATTTTTTTTTTCTACCATCTTAACATGTTTACAGAAATTGTATCAAAAACAAGAGGGGGGTTAAATGGCATCGGACATGGACAGATTTCGCAAAACTTTTTTTTTCTTTTACTTGTTAGTATTCAGATTATTTTGCATCTTTTCCCTAAAGGATGTTCAATACTTCTTCTTAAATCTTCATTTAAGAAACAAGTTTCTTTAAACCTGGAAGCAAGTACTGCAATAATCCTGTATAGTGGGACCAGACTTGAGCATGTGCAATGTTTCCTGCAGGCAAAAGTTCTTCAACACACTTTCTCTCTACAAAATGAAAATACAATCCAATTGCATAAGTGAATGTTAAATTACAAGAAATAAATATTTCTTTACAAAAACACTAAGCACAATTTATTATTTTACCTCTGATTTTATCAACAAGTTCGTCTAATTTGTGGTTAATATCGTTGAAGTCCCCAATGTCTACACGTGGAACCATACTAAGTATCTCCAATGCCTTTTGGAAATAAAAACTACATTTTAAAAAGGAAAAATCATTTTTTCTCCATATAGGCCTCAAAACTCTACATTATACAAATGTCTGACTTTGAAAAGTAATTATAAAAGCATTACTTGATGTTAACAAACACATAATCGTCATAAACACAGTGATATCTACACCTCAATGTTCACTTCCATATGGCGGTCAAAGAGAAATAACTCTTGCTAATAATGTCCACCAAAAACTCTCTATAAATAAATAAACTAATAGGCGTAAAACTCAAAAATTAATAATTATCCATCAATCAAAAGCAAAAAAAAAATTCCAAAATAAAAAAAGAAAATGAACGGAAAGGTGGGAAGGAAAAGATTTAATTTATTTTAAAAAAGTACTCACCAGTTGATCTCCCCACTCAACTGAATTTCCTTTCCATAAGACAACAACAGACATGATGTTACGTCTGTGAGATTTCTCCAAAGCCATAAGAAGTTCTAGAGAGCACCACGGACTTTTGTGGGAATGTTCTGTGAGTATGATAAGAGACTTCCTGCAGCTTCTTATTGCTAAAGCGATGTTGTCAAACACCTTTTGTCCTCCTAAAAAGTCATCTTCATCAGTCATTACCTTGAGACCTTTAAATTTTAATAAAGGTTTTACAGTTTTTAGTGCAAAATTCCTCTCTTCCATCGGTTCATTGGCGTGGATAAGAAATACATCATGGGAAATGTCAACATCTGTACCCTCTTCTTCTGCCATATTTTCTGTGTGATGGAAAATAAATAATATGCATAATTACATACATGTACATGTAGTTCCTTATTCAACGTTAACACACTTTAAAGTCATTCTGAATAAATGTTGAAAATGATATCATCCAAATCACACATCCCTAATTCAGTCAAGTTATTAAAACAAGAGGCCCAGGGGCCTTAACGATCACCTAAGTATAATACAACAATTTACAGGATCAATTGAGTATAAAATGAACTGACAGGTGACGCTTTGTCGCCAAAAGCAAGAAAAATAGGGTGATCAGGATCAACAAAATAATAACTCTAGTATTCATTAACAGTTCACAAACTAGGTTCTAATCTGTTCCCCATTTATTACTATCACCATACATAAACAAACTAAAAGTACTTCTGTACTATTTTAATTCCTTGTTGAAATCTATCACATTGGCCTCTCTTGATGAACATTTAATAAGACAAGTAATTTTTGTCTCATTTTTTATTTATCTATTACTTACAAGTCTACCTGATCATTTCAACTATGAAAGTACTTTTTGTATTATACAAAATTCTTGCATAATTCTCTTATTCTATAATCCTTTCAAGTACATTATTTATAGTGATTAATTATCAAAAGTAAATAGCAAAGGGGAATAACTCATCTCAGTAGAATACAATTTAATAGAGCCCTGGCCAGGACCAGAACACTTGACCAAATGCTCCAGATGTTCAAAAATCTGGTAAAAACACCCTTCCTTATTAAAACGTTTACTCTTTTTGCCTCTGATATGCCCAGGTGCAGAGAAGATTTTTAAAGAAATAATGCATTTTTACTACAGATTCACTATATTATCAAATAGAGCCCCCCCCCTCCCCCCTCCCCGACGAGAAACACCAGAGCCTCTCACCCTGGGACCAGACGTTTGCTCATCATAAGTAATCACTTTGTATATCTGCTTAACACTATAAGGAGCAGACAGGACCAGTGCTCCAAGTTGTGACTAAAATGGTCGCATTTGCGACCAAAAAAAATGATTTTGCGACTAAAAATTCTAACTAACTCGCATTTTTGCGACTGAGAAAATTTGGGCTGGCGACGTCCATTTTTAAGATTGCGATCGAGATTTATGTTTAACAAGATTCTCTATCAAGAAAATGTTTGAAGACATATACTTTTATGAACTTTATAAAGCATCGCAAGGACTTGTAATGTTATGACAGCATGTTGTAATAGTGACTTCTTATACAAAGTTTGATATACATGTATATATATACGTCCCTGATAGAACGGCATCTAAACGTCGTTAACTTTCTAGAGCCCGACCTTGTTATTGAAACATTTAGTCAATTGCTTGCATATCACAACTAACTAAGAGTGTTTTGGTGGCATTAATAACGACTGTTTAATGGGCTAGGTACATAGTAAAAAAGGAATCATGATAAACAGCTGGCAAAGTCCTGTCTCAACAGGTGTCAAACTTGCATTTTCTTTTGATTAGATTTTAATTCTAGGATCAGAATACTTGTGTTCTTCTGTGTACTATACAAACATACGGATGGTTGTATTTAATAAAATATTTCCTTCAACCTAGCAAATTGTTTCTAGTAATAAGTAATCTTTGATATAATAAAGACATTATACATATATCGGTGTTTGTTGATTGTTAGTCCCCTACCGGTGAAACCGGAGGGGACTATAGGTTTCCTCTGAGTCTGTCCGTCCGTCTAGCTGTCTGTCTGTCTGTCTGTCCCTCTGTCTGTCTGTCCCACTTGGTTTTCCGCACTTTTTTCCTAAACGCTTTCAGATATTGAGCTGATTTTTGGTATGTGAGTGTATCTTGATGAGTTACAGATCAAGTTTGCATTTCGTTCCGCTTCATTGATTTTTGACGGAATTACGGCCTTTTCAATTTTTAGGGGTTTTCCGCAATTTTCTTCTTAACGCTTTCAGATATTGAGCTGATTTTTGGTATGTGACTTTACCTTGATTAGTTATAGATCAAGTTTGCATTTCGTCCTGCTTCATTGATTTTTGACGGAATTATGGCATTTTCAATTCTTAACGTTAACCAGATTACACTTGCCGGTAGCGGACTAGTATTGCTAATGCAATATTCTCAGAACGCTTGTTTTACTAATGTTATTCACAAAATGTTTTCGTCATGGCGAGTGAAATATTTGTTGATGGCGACCAGAAATTCTGAAATGGCGACCAAAAAAAATTTAGGTCGCCATTTAGCGACCTGAAAGTAAGAGTGACTTGGAGCACTGCAGGATTATTTAATAGAATTAATGCATTTTCACTGTATTATCAGGAGCCCCACCCTTACAAAGCACATCTAACCCAGGGGTCATGCAATTCACTAATCTGGAAGAAGCACTCTTGCTCATCATAACTATACACTTATGCTCTTTGCTTTTTAACCAGAAGCATAAAAGAATATTTTCAAAGAAATTTTGCTTTTTCACTATATAATCAATAGAGCCCCCCCCCCCCTTTTCACCAGAACCCTTGACCCTGGGGCCATGAAATTCACAATTTTGGAAGAAGCATTCTTGCGTATCATAACAATGTACTTAGTTTGTTTAAATAATACCCAGGGGCAGAGAAGATTTTCAAAGAAATAATTGACCTTCACTATAGGATCTATATAGCCCCGCCATAGCACCAGAACCCCTGTCCCTGGGGCCATGAATTTCACAATTTTGGAAGAGGCATCCTTGTTTATGTATTTAGTTTGTTTAAATAATACCCAGGAGCAGAGATGAAGATTTTTAAAGCATTAATGCATTTTCACTATATAATAAATTGAGCCCCGCCCTAACACCAGAACCCATGATCCTGGGGCCATGAAATTCACAATTTTGGTAGAGACACTCTTGCTTCACAATTTTCTTATGCTTATCATAATCATATATTTAATTTGTTTAAATAATACCTAGGAGTAGAGAAAAAAATTTTCAAAGAAATAAAGCACTTTCACTGTATTATCTATATAACCCCGCCCTAGCACCAGAACCCCTGACCCTGGGCAATGAATTTCAAAATTTTGGTAGAGGGCTCAATGCTTATTACAATCCTGCCAACAGTTTGACTGCTTTATGTCCAGGAGTAAAGAAGAAGATTTTTAAAGATTGCATTAATTTTGTTGGTTTTAGCCCCACCCCTAAGGCCTCAGGGGGGCAGGGACCATGAAATTCACAAATTTTGTTCCCCTTCACACATAGATGCCATATGCTAAAATTGGCTGAAATTGGTTCAGCGGTTTCAGAGAAGAAGCTGAAAATGTTCAAATGTTAACACACGACGGACGACGCACGACGACGGACGAAAACAGATAGCAATAGCTCACCTGAGTCACTCAGGTGACCTAAAAATGAACAACATTTTTACGTTTGACCCTGTTTTAATGAAAAATCAAACAACAGAATTAAGGTCCTAACAAATTTATTGCACACCAAATCATACTTAGGCCTCCTAATATCATTTCAATTATTTGATTTTTTATTTTGCTTTTGTATCTTTATAAAAACAAACCAAATATTCTGAAAAAAGCTTACAATAAATAATGTTGAACTTTGTGTCCGAAACTTATTCGAGGAAGCTTTAATATCGAACTACATATAAAACAACACATTTATTAAAACTATTGAAATTCAAATTCCCTAATTTGGTTGGAGCTTCGAAAACTAGAATGAAAAATCACATTTCAAACAATTGCCAGTTTTATCCTATTATAGCACAATCGATATATCATATGATCATTATCCCAAATCCGTCGTCAGCTGAGAACAATGAGAGGATTTCCTTTAAAACAAAACGATCTTCCCTCTCAATCAATCCACTTCATGAGGCATTCTCAAACATTTACCCAGTTCATAAGTGGCATATAAGGCAGCAGTTTTTATTTACAAAAATACATACAGAAAATTTATATTCGATTATAAATATATACCAGCCTTTAAAAACATATAAATTTTGTTTATGTGCATGTTTGTAGAAAAACTGTATACGTACATGTAAAAAACAATTCGAACACCATTTCAAACATATTCTATTTGAACTTGATATGTTTGTCATCCTCACAACGTCAGGGGTCCTGCAACGGCAACGTGTTGACTCAGGACCCCCTTACGTTGTGAGGATGAATGTTTGTTAACCTTTTAAAATAGTGGAAGCAGATATCTCTATTATAGTAAGATTGAATATGCAAAGCTAAAAAGAAATTAAGCATCGCTGTTACCTTCTATCTTATCAAATTCAGAAGTAGACAATGCATGAAGATAACAGTAATCCATTTCAAAATAAAACTAAACATTTCTAGCGTCTTTTAAATGACAACACATTTGGGTACAGTTAATTGTATTATATTTAGAGAAGTGATTTATTCATTGCTTTAAATCTAACTTACTTCACAACAAAAACGAAAGTAAATTAATTGTAATTTTTAATTACAATCTTGCGCTACATGAAGGTATTTAAACTATTTAATAATATGTTAAGAGAAACTGAATGTACTTTATTTTTAATTCACTCATAGATTAAGAAAATATTGCCCTAAATTTCTATTATCATTCAGAATAGTCCCATGCTGCGCCTAACGAAACCGAAACCAACACAATGTATTTTAACAGACAATCGTTAAGTACACACATGACCATTTACAGCGTTTTAAACCTTTTTTAAATAAAAGTAACAGACTTAAGCCTTCTTAGTGTAACAACAAACCTTCCACTTACATGAAAGAAGAATGGTAAATTTTAAATTGAGCTTTTCCTTAGGGATCGCAGATTTTTCCACCGAGAATGTCCTTGTCCCACAGCGATCAGGGCTTCGATGATCTAGCAGACGGGCAGAGGCAGTCAACCTTTACGACAATCGGGTCTACTCGGGCATCTCCGTCTATGAAAATCACATGTACTTTAATTTTGATGGTATAAATTGATATCTCAATTGTATGTGTAAATTGGAACTCGAAATGGATTAATCAACAACAAAATATTATTCACGATTAACACAAATAA